TTTGCATGTAGAAGCCGTTGGCAGAGATATCTCTGTCGTTGGTGTTTGCACGAATATTTACAACAGTAGCGACAAAAAAATATGTATGTACATATATGTATAGCACGCGAAAGCGATTCTAGGAAATGRTACTCTCTGAAACATAACATACATAAGTGATCTTTGTTTACATAACAGCTGCTAGTAAATGCATTTRTTTTAAGCTTTAGACAAATATTTCGCAAAATGGTGGATATGTAAAAGAGATAAAATTTTTGCCAAACGAAAATTTGGAATAAATAAAATAATTTTTAAAAGTTTGTAAATGATTTTCGAAGACGTGTGTAAGATTTCAAGAAGATAGCGAGAAATAATCTTGATAACCGACTTCGAAAACAGATTTAAGAAAAATTTTAATTCAAGTGCGCCACTCAAAAACGGTCAGTAGAAAAATTCATWGAATATAATAAGGCAACAAAAACATTTTTTTTGCAATCGTGAAACACATGTAACCCCTTAAGGGGCTTGGTAATGCCCTGAACAATATGTTTGACTACAATTTCTTACGATGACCTCAATGTAAGCGAAATTGGATTTTAAATGTTGCCTCCACTTCTCCGCCAGCCACCTTGTTTTGAATAAACTTGGCAGACATTTAAGAATTACTATAGATATTGGTTGTAATATGTACGTTTGTATGAATATGTGTGTATGTAAACATTTTTGGTCACAAGGTATTTAAATAAGATCAGTGTAATTACTTAAAAAACGCCTTTGTTACGCTACTTTAGTACAATACACATAACCATATATTTTACATTAAACGGTTAGTTCTCTTATTTTTTTTTAAACTACACAACTACTGTTTAATAATTACTGTTATCATTATATATTTACACGGAAAAGCAAACGAAACGGATACCTATAATTAGTAATCAATGGAACAACTGCCAGCTAGCTGCTAGCCCTTCCCCTAATTAGTATTATGACATAATCATTTACGCTTACCATTTATATATTTGTATATGTATGTGTTGCTGCATGCGTGCATTATCAAGTAGGTTTGTATTTATGTAATATATGTACTATATATAACGCCTCAAATCATTGTGAGCTCAGCTCTTGCGCGCTCAAGCGCCACCACAAAATAATTCCAATTACTTATTACTCATACATTCGTTTCGATGCGATACGAGCTTGGCTCTTTGACTAGACCGCGTTTCTCCAATATTGCACAGTCGGCGCTGACGCGCTTCAACTTTTCCGCCACCCTTGAGGAGTGCTGCATGCGCGCTTTGATTGCGGATGCTGTTTTCGGCTTCACCTGCTCGTATTTGCTACACTTTTGCTTGGACATATCGTGATCGCTTTCGCTCTCATCRGCGAACTGTATGTCGTCTAAGCCGAGTAGACCGTCGCTTAATTCKGGCGATGTCTTCTTCTCGACTAAAGTTTCTTTCTCCACATAAGAGCCCGTCATGGACTCGGTCATGGAGTCGGTGATRGAATTCAACAATACAGCGGGTATTTCGGGTGTGTCACGCGGTGTTGCATGCGCCGATACCGCGTCCGCCGCTTCCATCGATACTGTTGGTGAGCTGTGTATGTTACGTGCGGATTTGGTGCTGCACAACTGTTGCATTTGTATGACCACATCACGTGCGCCGCTGCGCAGCGAAGAGGKGGAACGTGATTGCTGTTTGGCGTGGCGACGTTGCTTGCGCGAAAAGTAGGGTGTGGGTTGTTTACTGGCCGCGCTTGTGGATATGTTTTGCTGTAGCAATGTGTTCTTTAGATTCATTTCGGTGGTGGGCGAGGAGGCCTTCGACTGCAGTTGACTGCTGAGTGGCGAGAGCTCATCGGATGARGGTGTTGTATTGCTGGTGGTGTTGGCGCTCGACTCTGTGTTGCTGCGCGCGCTCAAATAATGCCCATATCGCGGCATTTTGATCTCCTCATAGAGCGGCTCAGTCTCGTCGGGTTCCGGCATKGGTTCAGGTGTTTTATCATCCTCATCGCGCAGATCGGTGATCACCTCAAGCGGTGGYACCCAGATCAGTTGCGCCGGATCCATACCCAAATAGGAACCCGGTGCTGCGCCGGCATTTATCACATTGTAATCGTAGTAATCGAGCTCGAGCTCTTCCTGATTGCCCAGTGAAAATTCAGAACCGGGTCGTGCAAGTAACTTTTTGCGATTCTGCTTCTCTTTGCTCTCCTTAGGATTGGTGGTACGTATGGTTGCTGTGCTAACGACGCTTGCAGCTGGTGAATAGCAGCCCTGAAAAGCATAAACAAAATGAAAATAAGTTTATTAAAGATCCATAACCAACAAGTGGCGCTAAATATGTGACCTTCAGCGGTCTAAACTCACATTTGTCAGCGAAGCGCTCGCACAACGTGACACGTATTCGCGGAGCGACGAACGCAATGAGTCGCGATCACTRAGCGTCGTTTGGTCTAAGTGTTGTGCTGAATGCGGCATCAATGTGCCTGAGGGCCCATAACGGTTGAAGCGACTGCTATGTCTGATRGGTGGACTGGCGCAAATTGAACTCATACCTGACGAAATGATCGACTCGGTGTCCTTACCGCTGTCCTTGCGTGTTAGTGTGCCACTAAAAATGCCGCTAGTCTCACCRGCGCCCGTAGTAGAGCCCAAACCCTCCTCTAGTGAAGGCGACCGACTGATGCCACTCACAGATTCTGGCGATTGTGAGATTTCATTGCGCAAAGTGACAACTGAGCTGTTACTGCCACGCTCTTCATCGCTGCAAGAAAGAGTAATGCAAAATGAGTGAAGTCAGCGATAAGTTCTTGTAAGATTGGTACGATTTCTTGGAAGTTTCTTCTTTTTATGCGTTTTATGTGCCTACTTACCACTTTACCATGCGTGTCGTCGTTTTGGCATCCTCTTCTTCTTCGGGGTCATTGAATTCCGTTTCGCGCGCCAAATTCTCCGCATCGACGCTCTCCCGCAATATGGAGTGACGTAACTGATGTTTCGGACGCATCTTCACCAAATAGATGACCTCCGATAGCAGCGTGGTAGTCGAAATGGCGCGTGATGGCGGTCCTTGCAAGGAGCTCATTGAGGCGCGTGGCGTGTGCAGTCGAGAGCCTTCATCACGACGACGCGCCACTGCCAAATGGTACTTSCGATAACGTACAACATATTGCGCACCTAAAAGTATGCAGTTGAGGCAAAAAGTCACATTGAAAAAGCAAATGGCGATAACGGTACAGATTTTTATTTTTCGTAAGGCTGAAAGTCCGCAAAACTGCGTGCAGGCAGAGCTGAGGCYAGCAGCCAGGAAAGCTATGCGGCACTAAAATATAGAAAAGCAAGCATTTGCCGCAGCGCGATTTGCTAACAGCCCTTTAATGTTTGCGGCTTKAGTTGGCTATCTTGTGGAATATATTTTGTAGGTGCTTAAAAATGATCTGACATGCCACTAATAGSTGCCAAAGCTGCCGAAGCATTACGTAAATCCCACAAAAGCAAATCAAGTGCTGAAATAATCGAAAAATTTCTTGACAGCCAGTTAATGCGCGCAGCAGGGCGCAAAATTAGGACGTTTGGCAGCATGTAACGCTGTAGGCGTCAAATACAACGAAACAACTGTAAATTTATTGCCTATCAGCTGCGTTAAAGCATGAGCTAAAAGCTTTAAATGAGGAGGTCTCTGAAGCTTTGTAGGAAGAAAATATATAGGCTATTATTAAGTTTAGTGTTAACCAGTCCATGTTGTTTAACAGTGGGCCAAAATCACTTCAATCACTTGAAAATGTAGTAAACTTTTTGTATTTAATAGTTTAGCATAGAGTGCGCTGATGCTCTCTCTCCCTTGGTTGTAAGATTCGTGGAACAAGCTAATTTTGTGCTTCCGTTACATATACTCTTGAAGYAAAAACTTGACTTRACGACCGAAAACATCAAAAATGTCCATAAAATAATTTTTGGTCCCGTAAAGTGAAGTTGTTCGGGAAAGCAGGCACTCCAGAGTTACCAACTGCATGTGTGCATCATAACATTTACGAATATTTGGGTATGAAAAGGCCTTGTGCCAAATTGGTGCCGCGCGAGCGCACTTTTGATCAAAAACAAAAAGGAGTTGATGATTCGGAGCTGTGTTTGGAGATATTCATGTCTAATAAATCCGAGTTTTCGCGTCGATATGTGATAAGGATGAATTATGGCTTCATAATTTCACTCCCAATCGTCCGTCATCCCAATGCGATGAACCCGCTCTACAGCGTGAGAAAACGCAACAGCCGGCTGGCAAGATTATGGCGTCTGTATTTTAGAATACGCACGGCATAATTTTTAWTGACTACCTTGTAAATGGTAGTTGGTCATCAACAGAGARTAAAAAGAAAGTGTTTTTAGATAATGCAATGTGCTACAAGTCAGTGAAAAGGATTTCAAAAATCCATTAATTGGGCTTCGAATTGCTTCTGGGTTCACCGTGTCTCCAGATCTGGTCTCAAGCGTCTATTTCCTGTTTTTAGACCTCAAAAGAATGCTACCTGGGAAAAATTGTTTGTCGAATGAAGAGGTGATCGCCGAAACTGTGGCCTACTTGAAGCAAAGGACAAAACACACAAAAAAAACAAAAAATGGCAAAGAAAAGGTATGAAGGTCGCTATAATCAGTGTTTGACGCTTGAAAATTTTTACCCACTGTACCTGGTCCAACTATCCACAAAACTATTTACCTATTACAGACAAATGCTTAGCTTACCAACACAGTACTACAAACATAGGTATAATATGCCTTTGCATTTACATTAGAGTGTATACTTATATATGTATGTACATACGTACAACTTATTTTGCGGGCACACGCAACCCTTTCATTTGGCTCCTTTCAATTCYAAATTTGCTCACTTTTTCACTAGATACAAATATTCAACATTTTGGCTTGGCTTGCACTGAGGCAACACTCATTGCCCTCACCGACCCGCCCGCTCTGCGCCTGCATTCGTTTGTGGTTTTTTTACGGTACTTACCCAACAAGGCGCTGATCAAGATAATGATGCTGGCAAAGACCACCGCACTCAAGTGGACCAACGTAAATTTCGAACGACTAAATTTTGGCTTCTGCGAAACGTTGCGATTCTTTGCCGACAATCTGCTGGTGGCTGCGGCCAGTAAAGTAGTTGTTGTCTCATTGCGCGCTGCTGGCGGAGACAAAATGCATACATAGAAAGGAGCATGAAAGAAAATAAAAAAAATAAAAATGGTATGAAAAATGAAATGGAAAAAAGGAAGAGAAAATAGTACGAGTTACCATAGTGAAAAGTCACACAAATACACTAAAGTTGTAGAAAATATGCAAAAATCAACATCATTAGCATGAAAGCGAAAGGACATTGTGGCGAAGAGTGAGTAAAAGCAAAAACCAAACAAAAGAAAAAGAAAAATGCTAAATAAAAATTGCATAAAAAGTGGATAGAAATTTGTCGCATTCATATTACAAATAGACTTATTTTATTAAACTAACACCAAAAAAAAACAAAAAAGAAACAAAGTTTGCCGAGGGAGAATGACGAAAAGGAAGCGTAAAACAAATACTGTTGTCAGTGATACCGCATGGGTGACTTATAAATGGAACAGAAGCAGAAATTCGTATTAAATTCACAACAGCGTTGTGCAAATTTCTTTAATTTTTTCTGTTGACAATAATTATTTGTATTTACTTTTTATTTATTTTTATATATTTGTTGACAAAATATCCTATAAAAGGTTTATAAGTGGTGAAAGCTTTTCTAAGCATTTAGAGAAGTGGKCAACGATGAATCGGGTATGTCAAAGAGCGCAGAAAACATTGAAGAAGTAAAGAGAAAGGTGCGGTGAAATCGTTGAATTGTAGTCGGAGAAGCTGGAGAAGAAAAATTCAGCTCATTTGAGTTCACGGAGTGATTAAATTATGTTTAATTCAGACAAATATATTACAAACTTAAGTTCGATGACTTTTGTTGTCACCATAATTTGGTCTRAAATGTCAGAACTAACGACAAATTGAACGACTACTACCATAATTGATTCCAAGTAACCGCAACGGTCTACGGTTTTTAAGCAAATAAAGACTGTTAACTCAAAATATTCTTCAAAAGTATTTGTTAGACTTTTTATGCCATTTGCGTGAAGAAATTATTGGAAAGAAGTATCACCGTAAAGAGACTATCCACTTCTAGACTTTCATCACTGTTTTCTGCAAGGTCCAGGCCCCACTTGCGAGCCGTATACGCATTACTAACAATACCACCTGCAGAAAGTGCAGGGAAGTAGGCATGAGAAAAACGCTGGAACATCTCCTCTGCTTACGTCTGACCTTATCTAGATTGGGACATAGATATTTAGGCGCCCCGCAGTACAAGCGACAGGATGGAGTAATAGAAATAGATATCAAGTATCTTTTAAAGAAGCGTTGAAGTGCTGCACGTATTAATAATGAACTTAACCTTTGTCTGGAAAGCCTTCACTTCCTTTTTATCTCTAATTTCAACTTTTAGAGGCATTTGGATTTTATTGCAAGCTCCGATATGTTAGACAAATTTTGGCCGGAGATTGAACTATGAGTTACGCTTTGCGAATGGGTCCTTATTTTATTTGAGCTACTATATGTTAGGTTCGAAAAAAAAGTTTAAAAGCGGAACTTGGATATGAATTTGTGGAGCAAAACTACTGGTGCTGTATTTTTAAATATTAAGCACCAAAGAAAATTTATTTTKTAGAAGCTGCAACTTTTCTATTTCCTAAGCAAAAAGTAATGGCAATATTGGATTTAAATTTACACTACCTTCATTGAATAAAAATGTGCCTATAAATCGGCTTGGAACATCCTTTAAACTTTTTGTAATACGCAGCACCCTCCAAAATAACAAAAGTTTCCTTTAAAATTCGAAAAATCCTAAAATTGCAACAAACTGGAGCACATCTATCAGAAAATACAWTAACTTTCAAATAGGGGAAGGTTTGTTAAAAACTAAAATTACGCGAGATTTAGGCGAAAGCCTCAGATATTTATGWGTGAATACCAAAATTGATATGCAAATATGCGAGGCACGAGCGCAGTCCGATAAGTCGGAGGTTTTTCACCCTGAAACTAGAGTTGATTGAGAGCTCCTTCACCTCTGAAGAAATTGAAGATTTGTGATACCGCAATTACACTCACGGCTGAMGAGTGATCAGACGGGAGACGACTGAAGAGTCTTGCCCGCATGGTCTGATACTCCYAAATTAGGAATCCCTCAGGCCTTTTAGCGACACCAAGGTGCCATAAGCTATAGCTTCCGAGAAGAGAGTTCAACGAATACTCCCAAAAGACGGCAGACCAGATGACCTTCAGACTTCTAGAGTAAGCACACCACACGGATATGGAAATCGCCCCCCTCTCTACGGTTGTGGTGAGCGCTAAAGGCGAATCGTCGACTGATGGATCAGTCTTCAGTCTAGAGCGGCTCTTCAAGTGTTTTTATGGTGGTTTTTTTCCTTTAATTGATCATTTTTTATCCAAGAAGGTACTTTAACATAGCAGATTTGTGTCGCCGAGTTACATTTTCACTTCAAATCCGCAAAAAGTCGCTGACTTATCAGGCTGAACTTCTGTATAYCGTATATARCATATATACCSATATATCTACATATACTATATCTGYATAAACCTTAATTTAATACGCTTTACGTGCAAACACCAAAGCGGAAGAAAACCAAACAAACTCTACAATAAACTGGCATATGAAAAAAGTACATGAACAAAAAAATATTCGAACAAATGCACGCACACAAGAACACAAACACATACATATATAGCACTCACCAATTTGTTCGACATTCGCTAAAAAGCCACCGGTGCAAGCGGCACTAACGCTGCCCGCCACCGTATTGTTGCTGCTGTTGTTGTTGCTCTGGCCGTTGGCGGACGCTTGCATATCGCTCGCTTCGCCCGCATAGAACTCCAGCAACAATTGCGCGCCACTCGATTCTATTTGTGCTGGCATATTTAAATTACTTCCGCCGTTCAATTCAATGAGCAACGTCGATGAGAGCGACGGACCGTCACGTACTTTGATGTACTGCGCCGGACAGGGCAAGCGCAAAAAGTTCAAACTCAGCGCAATATTCTCCTCGCCATCCACCTGTAACGAGAGCGAGTAGCGAATACATGAAATCGTAAAACTTTGGAAAAATAAATACAACAAAAAAATAACGTTAATAAAACACACACACACACACACATTGTTGAACGCGCGCGCGTGTGTGTGTATGCGTCGGTGCATGGCAACAAAAATATTATTTAGTGGGTGTATGAAATATTGCTCATATGCCAGCGGGCAGCAAGCGCCAACAACTAGACCGTTAGTTTTGAACGCTTGCTGCGTGCCTAGGCAGACCTGTGCTCCATATGCGCGCTTTGCCTTTGCGTGTGTGTGCTTTTTGTTGTAATAAGTTAGCAGATGTGCTTTCGGTTGTGTGTATATCTGCTTCTGCATATGAAATTTTACGTGCTAGTTGTTTCCTTGTTTGTGTAGTTGTTTTTGTTGGCTTTCTAAGTATCAAGTTGGAGTTGTTTTACGGTTGTTCACTTCATTAAAAACGCATGCGGCTGTTTGTGCGCGGCCATTTGTATGCAAAACTCCGCTATTAACTAACAACAACACCAATAATTCAACTAAAAACTGTTCTAATAAAGAGCAGACATTTGTGGGTGCAGGGTTGCAATTTTTATGGCGGATTAGTTTAGTTTGGCGTAAGATGTGAGTGAGCGGTTTTTGGAAGATATCGTTTCGAGCAAAAGATTTTAATTTTTTTACGCTTTGCTGATAACAATTTAACTATCAAAAAAGTTGGTTCAAAAAGTATATTCGAAGAGAGTAAGGAGTTCTTCAAAGCTTCACAATTGAAGGAATTATCGATATCCAACTAAGCTTTTGAACTTGAGCTCGAGTTGAAATTGTAAACGGCTGAACAAATATTTCATATTAAACTTTTGCTTGAGCTTGAGCCTAAAAACGCCCGAACGAATATTTCATATATCTAAATTTTCCTTTTATTTTGTATCTAATGCCGCAATGAGAGAAATTTTTTCCTAACTATACTTTCATACACTTTCTATATATTTCTCTCACTATTTTTGTAAGCTCCGAACTTTCATTTCAGTCAAAAATGCTTCACAGCTTATTGAGACTTGAGGTAGAAAATAATCCAACAGTTTGATTAACCAAAAGACATGATGAACGGCTGAAATGTGCTCGGATTTGGGTGGGAAAAGTGAAAAGAAAAATGTAATGACCAACTAGATTTTTTTATATTTTAACGGGGCAAATTTAGGTGAGAACGAGAAATAAGAATAATATTGCTATAAAAAAGTAGAATATTGATCCGAACAAGAACAAACATATGGCATAAAGTTATTTTTATGGGACATATGTAAATTTCGGTTAAACTGAAGGCCAATAATCGTATGTCTTTCCATGATAAAATAGCAAACCTTACCGAAGAGAAACGTCAAAAAACAAGAAAAAATATGGTGTCGTTTGCTGTCCTTATCGGTGTACTCCTCGGTCTAGAACCATCAGTCTGACAAGATTCTTTGTCGGACTGTTGATTTTTCAAAAATTTTTCGAGTCTAAGAGTACTAGTTGCTCAGTTTTTGAGCTATAGATCTGAAATTTTGCAGACGGCCGCTTCTCTTCAAAAGACTGCTCATTTGTCGGGATGATCTACATTAGATAACTACAGGGTACATATATCGTTACCTAAAATGCAAAACAACGTATCATAAAAAAAAAACGAAATCGAGTTTTTTGCATACGATTCACTATATCATATTGCATATGTATATGCATGAAATTGGCTATATTACAAAACTAGGCATAAAATTTGAAGCTTCCGGTATCAGATATAACCAATGGATAACCAACACATAACCAATATATAACCAATATATAACCGTTTATTAACCAAAACTCAATTTTTTCAATATGAGTGGTCTCTATCATAACTGTTTCGCTCCGCATTTAAACTTTTAAAAAGTGATATGGCGTTTTGCATTTTAGGTGACGATATGTAGCTGTCATATAAACTGAGCGATCAATTCCAAAAAACTGCTCGTATAGAAAACTTTTCATATTTGACATGATATTTTCACGAAATTTGGTAAGGATTTCCAAGCAAACTGTTCAGTTTGGACAACTATAGCATATAGCTGGCATATAAACTTTACAATCAAAGTCATAGAGTTTCTAAAAGAAATGGACCTGGGCAGGGTTTATAGCACAGGTGCTAACTTCGGTTGCATTCTCTTATTTTTAATATTAATAAAAAATATTTTTTATTATTAATAAAAAGCTTCATTCGATGGCTCATAAGTAACCGTAAGATTTTTCAAAATTTGCGCAAATAATTCACGTTAAAGCTACTTGATATATTAAATATCACTGCATTAGTGTTTTGACATGTTGAAAATTATCGCACGAAAGCCACCCGCATGCAGAGGCAGCAATCTAACGTTACAATCGCAACTGTGGTGAGGTGTCCAATATGTGATTAAGTTGTGGTCGCACTCGCAAAGCTTGATATGTGTGGTGTGTGCGAGAGAGCTTTAAAACTGTCAGTGATTTGATTAAACATAGTGCAAGCATAGAAAAATGTATTGCAACAACAACTAGAAAAATAGTACCAATAAATTCTCTCGGTGTAAAAGCATTTATCATAGTATTAGTAACAAAAACACTTGTGGATATAAATTTCCAAGCATATACATATAAATATGTATGTACATATATATATGATGTATGTTTGGGTATATATGTAGATATGTATATGAGTAATCTCCTATGATTTGCTGGCAAAGCCACACATTCATTTGCGTATAAATGCAGACAGACATACAAAGCGCTATAACGAATGGCAGGCACTCATATATGGAAAGAAATATTAATGTATGTATGTGTATATTTATCTAGTAACTGCGCTGATTACAAATTTCAGTATTCATAATTTATTTACTGTCTCTCAGGCATTTGATTTATCGACACACTTCACTCAAGCGCACACAGAAGCAAACACATATACTTTCACAAGAAAATATATAAAGTTTTCCTTTGTATATTTGCCTACAAAAAATATATAGCACATATATGCATACACACTTACATAAATGTACATATGAATATATGAATCGCTGCTCGTCTCTGTTAAAATATTGTTGAACTTTGCGTATAAAAGAATGCGAGCATGCCACCAATACACATGCATGCACACACATAAACAGGCATATGCAAGTGTATTTGCGCATAGCTTTGTATATTACTTACTAGTTTTACAAAAGTTTTTTCACACTAAAGTTTTTCAAAAAGTTTCGAAACACAAAACAGCAGCAGCAAAGTGGGTAAGCTGGTTAAGAGAGTATTAAAATGAAGCAGAAGCAGCCGCAGAGGTATGTAGCTGCAGCGATGAAAAGCGCAAAATATGTAGCAGTTAAAATGAAGTGTTGTGCAAATCTTGGAAACAGAAACACACACACACACACACATGTGTTGACTGAACACTTGAAGCACACGGCAGCATGTGAGTTGGAGAAAAGGATAAAAAGGTCAACTGCTGATTTGCCCACAAGCCACAAAATGGCAGCAAAATAAAAAGCCAGCAAGCCAACAAGCCAGCAAAAAGTAATAATAATAAACCAGCATACATACTGTATGCTGTCAAAACAAATTTGACATATAAAATATTGTCTGTTTACACAGATTTTACAAATTCAACAAGTGGGATAGCCGATAACATCCTGGTCAGGTGGTTTTTATTATACTCGTATTTGACCTATTGCAAATGCAAGGCTTGTACTCGTATGTGAGCGCTTTGTTAGTATATATATTACAGAATATGACACATATATGCTTGCTTTACAATTTTTAACCCTTTTGCAGCTTTTTTCTAACTTTCAAATGGTTATATTCACTAAATAAATGAGCGGAACAATATATCGTCACCTAAAATGCAAAACAACGTATAATCGAAAAATCGAAATTAATTTTTTTATTGCAATAGTGAAACTACATCAGATTACATAAGATTTTCATTGCCGCAGTCATATATAACCAATATATAAGTATTTTATAACCACTATATAACCGCTTTATAACCAAAACTCAAATTTAGTTTTAATATGGGTGGTTTCTATTATAACGTTTTTCCCTCGCCAGTAAACTTATGGAAAGTGGTGTAACATTATTTTGTATTTCAGGTGAAGATATACGTACAAGTACATACAAGCTTGTGCACATWCATACATATATGTATTTTGCTTATATACTTATGTTTTGAGTGCAGTTATTTGGAAAAACTATGCTAATCTGACTGCTTGCTTATATTTGGGCAAAAAGTAATTTAGTCAGTTGAAATTTTTACTTTCAAAACTAATATTTGTCCACATTGGCAAGTGCAATAACAAAGGTTTTTCAGGAGTTTACAGCAGAGGTCATATCAGAATATAATACACAAAACAAATAAATAAATATTTACATACAAATTTTCTATATGCATATACTACAGTGGGCAAAAATAGTAAAACTTTTTAATTCAAATTTCGCGCGAGAAACCATTCGCCGAAATAGTTTTTGTTTTTTTTGGTTGGTATGACTTTCAGTGACACATGTGAAAACTGTCACATCAAAATAATCATTAAAGTTTAGTATATGCTTGTCTCTTTGAATTACAAAAAGTGCATTTCGCGATTTCCACGATGAGTTAAATTATTCAGCAAAGAAGTTCCATTACATTTTGTGCGCAGAAACAAATTTTTTATTGAATAATTTCAGCGAAATATTCAAAATGTTGAAAAAGAGCTTCCTTGATAATTGTTTGTCGCGAGCAAATGTTTTTGATTGGTACAAATTATTCAAAAATCTATCAACATCAACAGATGRTCAACACGTCAGTAAAATAAAATAGGTGCTTAAGAATCGATGAATAATAGTCAGACTTTTTACAGACACCGTTGGACTATCGGAAGGTTCAGTAAAAAAAGATTCTAAAGATCATTCGGGCTTAAGGGGTCAGTAGGGTAATATTTTTTCAAAAATTTGTCTTTTCTTTGCATTTTCTRTTCCCTTATACCTTTAGAATTAATGTAGTA